GAAGTGCATAAAGAATTGGAGATGGTTAAGTGTACATGAAGCAGTAGACATGAAAAAAGTAAGAGTAGAAAAGTTTGATTTGTGTCAGATAATGAAAATCTATTATACCCAATGTATAGGTAAATGTTCATTCTTTCATCAGTGCTATCTATAACAAACAACTGAGCACAGGGCTCTTTGATCAGAAATGTGGGAGCAGAATGGCTTATAGCATCTTCTCTAATATAAAATATTTCAATAGTTAATAATACAGTATTAGGTTTAAGACCAGGATTATCTAGATTACAGTTACAGAACTCAATTTCAAATACTATATCTCTAGAAGACACAACTGCTTAAAATGAGCATTTTCCAAAGTTTCCTACCCAAAGAATTACTTAATGTGCCAGTTTAAAAAACAGAAATTTCTGGACAGACCTAGGCTGATATTGAATTCCCTCTGTATTCTGTGAATATGTTTTATTACCATTAGTTAATAGATAATCTGCTTTTGGCCTCTGATAGCACAGAATAGAACAAAATAAAAATTCCAATCAGAGATAGAGGAAGAAAGAAGGCAGAGTCAGGGAACTGCCATGTGTCACGTAGCCACCAAAGGAGAAAGATGCCTGCCTGCCAGAACCTTAGCGGTAAATCACGAGCCACGTGGTAAAATGCAAAATAATAGGAATGGGTTCGTTTAAGATGTAAGAGTTAGTTCATAAGAAACCTAAGCTATTGGTCAAGCAGTGTTATAATTAATATAGATTCTGTGTGATTATTTCAGGTCTGGGTGGCTGGAAAGGAGCAAACACTCTCTGCCTATACTAGACCAACATGATAACCTATATTTAAAGCACTTTTTCTAGCAGGAAAGATTAGGAAACATAGGTCTAACAGAGTACAAGACTAGTTGGATAAGAATACATAATTTTGCATCTATGAATGTATTACTTTATTAAAAATAAAAGTATGGATAAAATGTCTTATATGCCTGACTTTGGGTTAGGAACTGGAAATGCAAGAGTAAAACAGGGACAAAGGTTCTGCTTTCCCAAAGCTTACTTCCTAAGAGAAAGTGAAATGAGGAATTATACAATCAATTCTTTACAAATATATGAAATGCTATGGAGAATTTTAGTGTCTTGTGAAGTCGCATAATGATGAGAGCTGACTTCCTTAGAATTACCTAGAGTTTACCACATAAAGATGTAAAACTTAAACTATAACTTGAATTATGAATAAATATTGTAGGAAAAGGGTAATTCAAAGAAAAGGAATTGGCATCTGCCTAGAATGAGAGAGTGCAAAACATCCTTCAGGAATCCCATTGAAATTTAGCTACAGAAAGGGAGTTAAATAGACAAAATGAGCTATAGCCCACACTGGTGACACACTGATATATGGCAAATCTAAGTATGTGCCAACAAGAAAAGACTTAGAGCTTGGCATAAGTCCCAGATTAGACTTCCGAGCTCTCCCAGCTTTGTGACCTTTCCCATGAAACTGATATGCCTTAATACCAAGAGAACAATATTCTATTATCTTGCTCACATTTCTCACTGGAGCATTTTAAAAGCAGTGCAGCATAGTGGGAAAATATGAAGTTTAAAACGAAAAGACAAATTAAATCAAGCTATATTTATCAATAAATATATGGTTGTAGGTAATTCATTTAAATTCTTTGAGTTTTAGTTTTTCTAACTGTGCAGTGAATAATAGTATCTATATGATAGAATGGCTCAAGGAGACACTGAGATGATGCATGTATAATTTCACAGACAAGAGGTTAAATATACACAAAATAATGTATTTTAATGCTGTTTCCAGCACTTACCTCTATCTTACATTGTAGAAGGATGATTTACTCTTCTGAGCTTCAATTTCCCAATCTGCAAAATAATATCAAATACAATGTAAAGGTGTTATGCATAATCTCATTCAGTGTTTGATATATAGGTGATATTTTATGAATGGTAGCCATAAGTACAAGCATTTAGTATTGATATAACATTCTATCTCTGATGATTTCAGAGAAGTATTTTGAGTACATTAGACAAAAGGTCTGAGGCAAGAATAAGGAGTTGTGAGCAAGTAATTTGGCACTCAAAATTTTTCTCTCATGTTAATAATCATACTGCTCAAACTATCCATAATGCAAGAATTTTACCCCAACATATCATATACTGATACATTTAAAAGCACAGAATCACTGAATCTCGGGTATTTTTAATGTCAAAACACTTTACAAATACACAAACATTTAGTCTTACACTGCACCTAGCATAGTGTGGACAGTTAACAATCAGACCCACTCTTATTCCATTAACTACATATTGAGCAACTTTAACCAAATGATCTCAGGAGATGCATGCAACTTATACACATTGATGCTAAATGGGAAAAAATACATCACAGGAGTAGTCATGCCTACAACAAATAATTAGAATATGAAGAAAAAGAGAGCTCTGAGAGTTTGTTCCTTCATGGTTAAAAATAGTAAAGTAGCATCAGGGTGGAAATAGTTGTGATGTTCACTTTAAGTACTAATCACTTGATGAGCTCTGTCAAGAACAAGTACTTGATTACATTCAGCCCTGTAATTCAGAGCCTGACATGCTACCTATTTCATAAAAATTAATAAATATATACCAATTTGAAAGTTCCCAAATGTTGTAAAATCCAGAATACTTTTTTCTTGCAGAATGCCTGCATATTTGTACTCTATTTAGTGAAAATAATTCCACTGGCATGTGAGGGAAAATAAGTTACTGAAAAAGAATTCATGGTAGCTATTGTACAAAGTACACTTTGATTAAAAGCTGATGAGTATGTGTTATTCAGAGGACAGAACCAAAGGTTTATAAAGATGTGAAGACATAAGGTAGGCCTGTTTGAAACCAAGTACCAAAAAAAAGAAAGAAAAAGAAAAAAGTATTTAGAACTGGGGCTGGGATGATAGCTCAGTAACACAATTTTCGTGCAAAATGAGGACCTAAGTGAATCCCTACATTTTGTCATTAAATCCTTTTATAGATTTGCATCTCATAATGCCATTGTTGTGGGCAGAGTCTAGTGAATCCTAGAACCTCTCTGACCAGCCAACCTAGTCAAAGTTATCTGCATATATACATATGTCCTCGCTTGGAATTCAAATTTAAAAAAATTGTTATTGCCTTTTCATTGACAAGCTGTCTCTTGCCGTTAAGCTTTAAACATTGTAGAAATAGGAGCCTACTGTATGCCCTCTTCCTATAACATAATCTCACACCTACCTTAGTAAATAAATTTTGAAAGAAGAAATCCATGGAAAGTATTTAACATAAATATTCAGTGAATATTAAATGATTGCCATTATTGTGATTATCATTATGACGTGTGTAGTAAGAGTTGAATGAATGATATTTTAATTTGAAATTCTAAATTTGTGATTGCCTATGTAGACTATTTTTAGTTTTTTTCTTATTATGACACATCCTCTGTTATTTCTTTTTCTTCAACAAACTTAATTGAGACATAATTTACATAAAATAAAATTCACTCATTTTTTGGATTAGCAGTTTAGTGTGCTTGACACATATTATCTAATCACCATCACTGTCAAGACACACTATAGTTCCTGTGTATGCTTAAAGACTATTGATATGCTTTCCATAGTCACAGCTCATTTTTTATTCTCCTTAGATTTTATTCATAATCTGTTTGGGTCTAGATTTTCCTCAACCAGTGAAATATTACAGATAATGTTGTTAAATGTTACTGTTCTTCATTCCTTTATGGGCCATTGTATTCGTATGCCATTTTCCATTTTTCCTCCCAACCTCCTCAAATCTATCTTCTGAAGAAAAGCTTTTCTATGTGCCTTGACCAACAAGCCTTAGACAGTCAAAATGAATGGAAAATTCTGTTCAGGAAACATGAATGATAAAGTTCTAGCCTAGAGCTAAAATTTCCTACCCAGTGTCTACTGTAATCCTGTGTCCTGGAAAGCACCCCTCACAAATACATAAATAAAGCCAATCAACTTCTCTAAATTATTGAGACTAGCTTTGAATAAGAATAATTGCCTTCTAATTTTCTAGTCTTAAATTTCTGCTGGATAGACATCCAGATATTAGACCTCAAACAGCACCAAACTCAGTGTTCTGAGAAAAGTATACCAACTTTACCCGATGATCATTCTTGCATAAGACATATTAGACAAATACTCCCAGAAAAATAGTAATATATATTAAACATATAATATATAAAGATACTTTTATATATTTTATATGTAAGATATATGTATATAGTTAGATATATGTTTATATAATGGTGTGCATGTGTTTATATATTATATATACATTAATGCACACATATATATTTACATATCACTATAAGTAACATACAAACTTGTACATGGTGAGTATTCAAAAGTGATACCTGAGTGTAATACAATTAAACAGTTTCTTGTGGAATTATTTATTCTACTACTTTAGCATCTTTCAAAACTTTGCATTTTGAGAAAAAGTTAAATCTAAATAAAATTATATTTTCAAAGTCCTATATACCCTTTATATACCTATATACCTAAAGAAATATTTCAAGATTCACCACCTGTCTCAATAACATCTTTCAGTGAAGGTATCTAATCCAGAACCAGAGACCACACTATTTTGATATGTTATTCCAGTTATTTCAAATTCACAGTAGTTTTAGGTCTTTCTCTGATTTTTATCTACATAATTTTAAACAAATACTTTTATAGAGCAAGATATTTCTGCAGTGTCCTTCATTATGAGTTTTGCTATGGTTTTCTGATTGTATTCATTATTCAGTTTTGATTGAAATATAGTAACAAAGTGATGCATAATGTTGATTTATCAGTATGAGATGTTGTTAAATATAGTCACTTGATTAAAATGGTATCTTCTCAGTTTTTTTTTTTTTTTTACTATGCAGTAACTCCATTTCCTACTTCATGAGGAATAACGTTTAGGAAGAGATATTAGGGGACTAAATAAAAACTCAAACATTGATGCTTGCTTTAGCAGCACTTATACTAAAATTGGAGCGATACAGATAAGATTAGCATGGCCCCTGCTCAAGTATGACATGCAAATCCATGAAGCATTCCATATTTTTATTATCTCACAGCAACAAAACTCAAAAAAGGAAAAACATACAAAATAACATCACCAGCAACAAAAACTAAAATAACAGTAACAAACAATCACAGGTCATTAATATAAATGGACTTAATATAAATGGATTCAACTCACCTATAAAGAGACACAGGCTAACAGATTGGGTACAAAAACAGAATCCATCCTTCTGTTGCATACAAGAAACACACCTAAACCTCAAAGACAGACACTGTCTCAGAGTAAAGGATTGGAAAAAAAATTCTCAACAAATGGAAAAAAGAAACAAGATGGTGTAGCTATCCTAATATCTAAGAAAATAGACTTCGAGCTAAAATCAATCAAAAGAGACAAAGAAGGACATTAGTCACAAGTTAAAAAAAAAATCCATCAAGAGGAAATCTCAATACTGAACATCTATGCCCCAAATACAAGGGCACCCTCATATGAAAAAAAAAAGCAAGCAAACAAAAAAAAAACTTCTAAAGCTTAAATCACACATTAAACTCCACACTTTAGTAGTGGGAGACTTCAGCACTCCACTCTCACCACTGGACAGGTCTGTCAGACAAAAATTTAACAGAGAAATAAGAGAACTAACAGATGGACTTAACAGCCATCTATAGAACATTCCATCCAAACACAAAAGAATTATACCTTCTTCTCAGCAACTCATATAACTTTATCAAAAAGTGATCACATACTAGGTAACAAAACAAACCTCAACAGATGCAAAAAAACTTGAAATAACCCTGTTTCTTATTGGATCACCATGGCTTCACATTAGAATTCAACGGCATCACTAATTCCAGAATGGCCACAAACATATGGAAATTAAACAATGCTCACCTGAATCATCAATGGGTCATGGAAGAAATAAAGGGAGAAATAAAAGACTTCCTAAAATTCAATGAAAATGACCACACAACATACCCAAACTTAAGGGACACAATGTAAGCAGTGTTAAGAGAAAAGTTGATAGCACTAAATGCCTACATAAAGAAAAATCCCACACTAGTGAATTAACAGAACATTTGAAAACTTTAGAACAAAAAGAAGCAAACTCATCCAGGAAAACAAGACAGCAGGAAATAATCAAATTGAAGCTAAAATCAAAAAAAAAATAGAAACAGAAAACAATACAAAGAAGCAATAAGAAAAAGAGTTGGTTATTTGAGAAAATGAACAAAATAGACAAACCTTTATCCCAAATAACCAAAAGACAGAGAGAGAATATCCAAATTAACAAAATCAAAAATAAAAGGGGGACAATAAGAACAAACATGGAGGAAATCCAGAGAATCATCAGGTCATATTACATAATCTGTACTCCACAAAATCGAAAAAGTTAAAAGAAATGGACAATTTTCTGGATAAATATCACTTACAAAATTAAATCAAGACCAGATAGGCAAATTAAATAGACCTATAACTACTAAAGAAATACAAACAGTCATTAAAAGTCTCCCAACCAAAAAAACCTCAGGACCAGCGGGTTTCAGCTCAGAATTCTACAAGATTTTCAAAGAAGAACTAATGCCAATACTCCTCAAATTGTTCTACACAATGGAAACAGAATGAACATTGCCAACCCTTTTTATAAGGCTACAATTACCCTGATACCTAAACGACATAAAGAAATTACTAAGAAAGAGAATTACAGACCAGTTTCACTTATGAACATTGATGCAAAAATACTCAATAAAATACTGGCAAACTGAATCCAAGAACACATCAGAAAAATCATCCACCATGATCAAGTCGGCTTTATCCCAGAAATGCCAGGAAGGTTTAACATATAATAATATATAAGTGCAATACACCATAAAAACAAACTGAAAAATAAAAACCACAATGTTCATAGCAGCATTATTTGTAATAGCAAGAACCTGGAAACAATTAGTTGCCCCTCAATGGAAGAATGGATAAAGAAAGTGTGGAATATATACACATTAGAGTACTACTCAGCGGTAAAAAACAATGACATCTTGAATTTTGCATGCAAATAGATGGAAATAGAAAACACTATCCTGAGTGAGATAACCCAGACCCAAAAAGATGAATTTGGTATGTACTCAATCATTTGTGGAGTCTAGCCATAAACCAAGGTCATTAAGCCCATAGTTCACAAGCCCAGAGAAGTCAAATAACAAGGTGAACCCAAAGAAAACCATATATAGATCCTCCTGGAAATAGGAAGCAAACAAGATTTCAGGGCAAAAGCTGTGAGCATGGGGGTTGGGGCAGGGGTGGGGATGAGTTTGGGGGTAGGAGAAAAGGGGAGAGTGAAGGGAGAAGGGAAGGACTGGCAAGAGCTTGGGGGACTGGGAGGATGGAGATGGATGAAGGGCGAATATAGGAGCAGGGAAGAAGATACCTACAGTAAGGGATCCATTTTAGGGTTGTCAAGAGACTTGGCTCTAGAGGGGATTTCAGGTGTCCACGGGATGTCCCCAGTTAGGTCCTTGGACAGCAGAGGAGAGGGTGCCTGAACTGGCCTTGCCCCACTATCATGCTGATGATTATCTCGAATATCACCATAGAATCTTTGTCTGTCAATGGATGGAGATAGAGACAGAGATCCTCAGCAGAGCAACAAACTGAGCTCCCAAGGTCCAGTTGAATGGCAGAAGGAGGGAGAAGATGAGCAAGGAAGTCAGGACCACAAGGGGTTGGTCCACTCACTGAGGCAGTGTGCCTGTTATAATGGGAACTTACCATATCCAGCTGGACCAGGTCTGAATGAGCATGTGATCAAACCAGACTCTGATTGTGGCTGACAATGGGGGCTGATTGAGAAGCCATTGATAAAGGCACTGGGACTTGTTTTTATGGCATGTTCTGTTTTTTTTTTTTGGGACCCTAGTCTATATGGATGCACAGCTCCCTAGAACTGGATGTAGGTGGGAGGGCCTTGGACTTCGCCCTGGGCAGAATTCCTGGCCTCTCTCAAGCAGGGCAGGAGAGGAAGGAGGGGGTGTGAGGGAGTGGGAGGAGATTGGGAGGAGGGAAGGAAGTATAAATAATTGAAGGGAAAAATAAAAATTAAAAAAGAGTATGCCTTTAGCAGAGGAAGGTGTTAATAATTAATTGAACAAATTGGTCTGTTTTGTGACTATCATTCAGAATTTTTCCCCAGGTACTTCTGTCATTACCTAATAAGCTCACAAATAAGGAAAGTTTCAAATGAGTTTGAGAATGGAAGTACAAAAACAGCAAGTGATATCACAAATAAGCTCAGAAACACAGACTGCCACTCACCAAACCAACATGACCATGGCAATTCTTGGTGTCAATACTGTTAATAATAGAAATCAATACTGAATAGTTTATCAGGGTCAGTATCTGGTATAAGTAGGTATATTTGAATTGTATATGCACCATAGACAAGCTAATGCTTTGTTCTTGCTGAAATAGACAAGTTACTTTTAAATTGTTTGATAAAGTCTATGATTCTGCCAATCCTACCATCATCGGAATTAGTAAAATATTTTCATTCTTTTTTATATTTATTTATTTATTATGTATACAATATTATGTCTGCGTATATATGCTTTCAGGCCAGAAGAGGGCACCACACCCCATTACAGATGGTTGTAAGCCACCATATGGTTGCTGGGAATTGAACTCAGAACCTTTGGAAGAGCAGGCAATGCTCTTAACCTTTGAGCCATCTCTCCAGCCCCAATATTTTCATTCTTAAGTTTCAGTTATATTGAACTAATGCAATTTTGTACACATACAGGATATAGTAATTCCAAAATTACCACAACTTTGTGATATACCAAGTGTGATATTTTTGATGCATGATTTGATTCCTTGTCATAGAACATGGTATTATCAGTCAACAATGACCAAAGTTGGGTCAATCAGATTTGGTTTTCCAGAGAGCACTCTTTGATGAATCTGAAACTGCAAAATGTAATCAAACAGTCATCTTATACTCTAAAATGCTGAAATATTGATAATTTTTTTAAAAAATAAAATTTCTATAGAGTGAAACATGTGAAAAAGAGACACAAAAGGTAACTTTTGAGGAATGCAGATAAGAAACAAAAGACAAAAATCCCCATGGTAGTTTCTACTCTTGGCCTTATACCCAACGGATGCACACCCATGCCACAAATATATTTGCTCAACTATATACATAGCATCATTATTTGTAATAGCCATATCCTGGAAACAACTTATATGTCCCTCAGCTGAAGAATGGATAAAGAAAATGTGGTACATTTACACAATGAAGTATGGTTTAAAAAAAAAAAAGCAATGACATCTTGAAATTTGCAGGCAAATGGATGGAACTAGGAAAAAACATCCTGAGTGAGGCAACCCCAAACCCATAAAGACAAACATGGTATGTACTCACTAAATGTGTATATTAGATGGAAAGCAAAGTATAACCAGCCTAAAATCCATGACCACAGAGAAGCTAGGTAACAAGGAGAACCCTAAGAGAGACATACATAGATAGCCCTGGGAACGCAAAATGGACAAAAACTCCTGAAAAATTGAGAAGGAAGGGAGGCCAGAAGGGGAGGGAGAGAGGAGAAAGGAACGGAGAGAAGAACATGAGGGATATGGATGGCTGTGACGTGGGAAGGACAGAGAGGGAGAACAAGGAAAAAGATACCTTGATTGAGGGAACCACTATGGGACTAGCAAGAAACCTATCACTAAGGAAATTTGCAGGACAAGGATGATGCCAGCTAAAACCCTAAGCAATAGTTGAGAAGGTACTTGAACTGGCCTTCTCCTGTAATCAGATTGATGACTATCTTAATTGTCGTCATAGAAACTTCATTCAGCAACTAATGGAAGCAGATAAAGAAATCCACAGCTACCAGTGGATTGAGCTCTTGGAGTCCAGTTGAAGAGAGAGAGGGATGAGTGATAATATGTGCAAAGGGGTCAAGACCATAATGGGAGTACCCATAGAAACACCTGACATGATCTACTAGGGATTCACTGACTCCAGACAGACAGTTGGGGAATCTGAAT